GTGTACGGACGTTTCCAGATCATCGCAAGATGCACGTGCCGTTTTCAATTTACAAGCGATTAACCCTCCCATAATTTTGTTCGTGTTAAGCTGCATTCAGGCGAGGTGTACACATGTTTCCAGACCATGGCAAACATTTGATAGTAACATAGACATTAGATGCGCACGAACAAGTAGTTGAACTTTGTTTTAAGTAGGAGAAAGTCCTCAAACTCGCGATTAGTTTCGCACGTGAAGCAGGTTCTCGGCCTACGGCCTCGAACTTGCCTTAACGTGCGAAACTAATCACATAATATTATCAGTGTTACTTAAAAGGTTGAATTAAATCGCCGTTTATTAACCTGTTCATATGAAACTGCAATATTAGTCCCAATGTATTGAATACTGTACATCATAGGAACTAAAGTACATGTTGCAGTTATGGCTACGTGTGATCTTCTAACACTTGTGTAAAGGTATAAATTATGGTGTACTACACAAATGTGTCAATTTCTTATGTAATTATTATTCAAACAATCAAAAAAAAAGTTTCAAGGAATAACAAGAAGACAAGTCATCAATATCCCCAGCAACGGCAAAATACTCTTATGAATATGTCTGCTAGTTATGATTATGTCAAATGTTTTGGAGTGTATACAGCAAAGTGGAAGGAGAGTATTGAAAGGTTTTTTAAGATCTGCTCCAAAGAGGAGCACTACCATCAAATTCAGTTGAAGCCTAACTTGTTGCCAGTGAAATGCAACAAGATGACATCCTCATAGTCACAGCTTAAGTCACGTTTCCATGGAAACCACAAAAAATAAAATTCATATCTGGGTCTAAACCCCAAAAGGCACATCTAGGGATCATGCTTGATATGTGTACCAAGTTTGATGAAGCTAGCACTAATAGTTTACGAGATCTGCTCTGGACAAGATGACATCCTCATAGCCACAGCCTAAGTCACATTTCCATGGAAACAGCAAAAAATTAAATTCATATCTGGGTCTAAACCCCAAAAGGCACATCTAGGATCATGCTTGACATATGTACCAAGTTTGACGAAGCAAGCATGTATAGTTTGGGAGATCTGCTCCGGACGAGATGACATCCTCATAGTCACAGCATCAGTCAATGTTTCCATGGAAACCGCAAAAAATAAAATTCGCATCTGGGTCTAACCAAAAGGCACATCTAGGGATCATGGTTGACATGTGTGCCAAGTTTGGTTAAGCTATCACCAATAGTTTAGGAGATATGCTTCGGACAAAGTGTGACGGATGCACGGACAGACGCAGAGACGGACGGACCTCGTTTCTATATCCCCCGCAACTTCGTTATTGCGGGGGATAAAAACGTATACCCTATATCCATGTATGACATGATATTGAAGAAGGCTAAATGTAGATACTGAAATTAGTTTCATGAAAAAATATCTGAAAGATACCCAATATCTACATCAAAATACTGAAAGTGTAATCGGAAGGATAGGGCGATTGTTTACTCTTGTTCAACCAACCTTCACCTCAACGAAATTGCCTGATATGTACAACAAGGTTGACGTATGACATCACTACCTATGACCGATTTCTTACAAAATGGCAGCTTCGCTGACAAGGGTACATAGGATTTTGCGAGGACTCTTCCCTTGATTCAGGGATCGTTTGTACATAAATTATAATAATAATAATAATAATGTGTCCATTTATATAGCGTCAAACTCCACACTAGGTATGCTCATAGCTAACAATCAAGGCCATTATTACCCCGGATAACCCAAGCTGCCTGTTAGGCTAGAAGGTTATAGTCATATGACTTTTTCCACCGGGTACCCATATTCCTGCTGGGTGAACAGAGGCAATTTTGAACAAACTCACTTGCCTAAGGTGAGACCACATGTATCACATGTGCTTCGTTGTGGGACAGGACTCAAGTCCTAGAAACCCTCAGGAGTCAAGCTGCCAAACACGGTCACCCATCCAAGGACTCTCCTCGAAAGCTCGACGCTGCTTAACTTCACCGATTTGTGAATTATGAGATGTAAGTAATCAGAATTATTCTGACTATCTGTGTATTGTTATATGTTCTTATCCTTTTCACTGTAAGTAAGAGAAGAAGCCAAAATGCTGATAATTACAGTTGTCGTTCTGCATGATTTTGCGTCAGTCATGGTGTCACGCTGCACGGAAACTTTGACAATATCTTATGCATTATCAAATCATTGCATTGTATTCCTATTTCTTGCTACAATACTCTTTCCATGCATATACTAAAGGTATTGAGCCATTTCAAGCAATGAATAGACGGCTGGATGTCGGAAAATTTCAGAAAATGCTACGCAGTGTAATATCGAAATTTTTCTTTGTTTACATTTCAATCAAGCGCAGTCTTTCAAGCACAGCGTTCATTTTCACACCCAATATCTTTTGTTTCATTTCATCTAGACAGTTGGTATTGGTCACAAAGACCATTTGTAATTTTATTCTAAAATGTATGGGGAATTCAGTGATGCATTTGTTGCAGCTGAATATGAAATATATGTGATGTAATTGGTGTCTCAATACCGGCCTTCACGAAACGTGATTTTGTAAACACTATCCAATATGGCGGAAAGCGCTCTTCGGCGTTCGTGTAGGTGTATTTTCAAAAACATCCCAACCAATTCTAGGTTCATCAGCAACGTTTCAGAATTATCATTAGTAGTTTCATGAAAAACTGATATCAGTGATCAATAATATGCTGTTTTTGAAATTCAATACTCCCAGTAATTATCCAGTTTTCACATTTCAAAACATACAGCAAATAACACTGTGAATCGCGATTTCGTTTCTTGTAAAGAATCGCGACATTTACGATGAAACCTATTTTGAAAGTTTATTTTAAGCACTTTACCTTTGTCTGAGATAATAGTGGATGGTATCAAGAAACAGGGAATCTCCCGCAGAATTCGAAACTGTGAAGTATATTTGTGTGCATGATATATTTGAAGTTTATTGGACAACAAAGTGGGGTTTGAAGAGGAAGGACATATATGTCCCAGTGGCACCCGGGGGGGTTAAAGGAGAATCCGAATGAAAACAAAAAGTTTGTAAAATAGCAATAAAAACACAAAAAATGTACTCGTATTTCCGCATTTTACGGAAACACCCGACAGTTAATGAGCAGAGGGGGTATCACGTGACATGACGTCATATGTGCCTGTTGCCGATGGCTGCCTCTTTGATTTTACCTCACAACTAAACAGTGTCCATGGATTCTGAAGCAGTAAAAGGTGTTCCTGATGTCATTTCTGAACTGGATGTTAGACCGTATCAATAAAAATATACCATATCATTTAACAAGAATACTATTTGACAGCAAAACGTGATACAATTCCAACCAGCAAACCCACCCCTATAAGTATATGACCAGTCCCTAAGAATTACATTTTTTGCCATGTGATTTGCAGTTCCTTTTGTGTCAAATGGGTGACTGTAGGGTGTCTGGGATTTAAAAACACAATAATTATGCTTCAGACGGGGGAAAATAGAAATTATCTGCCAATTTTTTTTTCAACAAAATAACTTCAGTGTTATTTTTTTACACTGAAGTTATTTTGTTTAAAAAAAATTAGGATCCTAGTTCTCATTAATAACGTAGCAAGTCTCCACACAAAATCCGGGCCTGGTCGGGCAGAGATAATATTCGCGACGCAGATAAGTTATTCCCCGAAAACTGGTAAATTATAAAATGCTTGTCAGGACAATGTATGTTTCCCCAGTGTTTGGTTATGAAAATAGTTATGGTACTCGGCCATAGCCTTAGAATGGCATCTTGTCAGCCAATGTGAACACAGAACAACTTTCACGGCCCACAGTACTGACAAATAGCGAGTCTGATGCAGACGTGTGTAATTGGACAAAATGGAAAACAATGAAAGCAACAAGTACTTCATGATTTGCCGTTGTATTCGGCAATGTTTCGGGTAGTCTGCAGCATTTAGGGCTCCAAACCGAAAAGAACGTCATAGCGAAACATTTTCAAGCTCATGTGAAATCTCTTACTGATTTTGATATCTATCTCATGGGTACCAGTGGAACTGCCCCAGCTACAAAATGCCCCAGCAAATTTGGTCATTCATTCTATTTGGTCAAATGTATTTAAAATGATTAAATATATGCCGTAAATGCATAGTTTTTGTCAACTTTGATATTATGTTCTTCATATAAAAGTTATTAAGAAGTAATATTTCAGATAAATGTTCCATCAGTAAACTCATAACTATGTATATACTTTTATATGAAGAACATAATATCAAAGTTGACAAAACTATGCATTTATGGCCTATGTTTAATCATTTTAAATAAATTCGGGCATGTTAACTACCCCCCTGGGGCAATTTGCAGCGGGGGCAATTCGACTGGCAATCGTACAGTAAGCTGTAACAGGGAATGATGGAATATAATAAATCTCGTGGGTAATTCTTCCTTCTTCAGCCTAGCTTTGGGATTTGTATGCCCCATGTGTGCTTGTCTCTTTCATATGTGTCCGACTCGGAATGATTGGACCATTTCTCCTGCCTAAGTCTGTCTCTTTACTTGGAAAACGTAAGAAATGGTGGCTTTCTGTTGTTCGATGATTCTGTGCATCCCCAGGCAACCATTACCAGTACCATTTACAAAAACGACAGAAACAACACAATTTGTACTACTGTAGCGCTTGGTCTTTGGCAATATGGTGGACTCCAGGCACATTTGACATCACGAGCGGTAAGGTCACGTGGGTTCCAGCGAAATATGTATAATGCCTTAAGCTGAGATTTACAGAAACTGTTTTCACGATTAAAACATAATTATACATAATTTTTAATTGAAAATTTGGGAATATGTTTCTGGTGACTTTATCTTTCACCCAGCAAATTATTGCAATTCACGCCTATTCTCCTTTAACCCCCTAGATGCCGAAGATTTTTTCTGGCTCACATTTTCATAAGGTTTGAAAAGTGAACGTTGTGAGAGAATTGTGCAGAAAATACAGCCTGATATCTGAATGACATAGGTATATATACTCAAGATGAAATTGAGACAGATGGAAAAAGATTAGAAAATGGCCATGCCTGAAGAAAGAAAAGATGTTTCCACCTCAGCAACAGCAATTGGAGTGAGGTGGAAGACAGGTAGGCCAAAGGAAGTACACAGAAGGGCACAATAGCCAATTAGAAGACAGGTGACTTATAAATAGAATAGGGAAAGCCCAGAGGATGGGATCTGAATAAAAAAATAGAACAGAAGTGAAGGGAAATCCTTGTTGAAAAGGCTCCAGGAAACAGATGAAAGGTGATGATTAAGAGAGGTGGCGTTCAGCGGCAAACACAGACAACATAGAACAAATGGACATTTAACATATAATGATATGAAAGATGACTTAGGGACAATGAAATGTTGATGAAAGATGAAAATATGATTAAATTCCCTTCCTTACAGACTATTGTGCCTCCATGACATAGAAATCTTCATTCCATCGATCGGCAAGCCATCATTATAATAATACTACTACTCCTTTCAGTGTGCAAACACTCTGGTGAAGGAATCGGACACGGCGATCTTTGTCACCTGTTCTTTTCAGAGCATCTAGCACCAATCTCTCCTGGAGGCCATTATCCAGATCAGGATAGGATTCATTGATAGGTTGCCAAACATCATCTCATCAACTCTATTTATATTGACTCCTGTGGCTTGCGATTTCGGTTGAGTAATTTTTCCTGCTTAACATCAGAGTAAATTTTTACTGTCCCATCTCTGAAGAGTATCTGCAAACCATTAGTAATGACTGCTTAGCCACATTCCTGAATTGAGATCCACCCACGCCACAGGAGTAGCTCTAGAATCAGTTTGACATCCATGGCATTGATTCGCTAAGCTCAAGACTGTATTTGAGAGCTGTGCCATGATGTTAACCTTGTTTGTCTCATTTTAACTGGCAATTTGTTGAGAACAATGGTTATTCCTTCCAAGAGGTGTATATGACACATTGTCATACAAAGATGGTGAGCAGTAATTTTGCCTGTTCGAGTCCAGTGACTACGAATCACACAGAAAATATTGCTGCAGGCCATGTAAGTCGTCTTCGCTGAAGGATCTACATGGATCAACAGCTCTGGTGCTATTTTCTATTGTGGCACCATCTTCCAATGGCCTGCGACTTTCACTCGCCATCTGTTGGATAATACTTTGATCATCAATATTCCTTTTTGTTGGCTATAAAAAATCCCTAATTTCTGATCCCTGTTACACTCAAGACTCAGCAGCCAGGGAACCGCTCAGTCAGAGGATATGCAGCAATCTCATGGGATACAGGTGTAAATTTTTAAGAAACAAGACAAACCATTCACTCACCATTCACACAAACACAAATATAATTAATTCAGTCGTCGTCTTTGAATAATCCATGTTACAAGAGCCATTTAGAATAAAATTCAGCATTACAGCTTTTGTTGAAGAAAAAAAACATTTTCAATACTATATTTCAATCTCAACTCACTTCTGAACAGAGCAATAGTTGGTAAAACAGAATTGAGCTTGCATTTGTAGAAGTAATATTTTCCCAATAATATGAACAAGTCAAAAACAGAGTCAGTAGTGAGGTGAGGTGAAATTGGGTTTAACGTCGTGCTTGAGAATATTTCGCTTATATGACGACGTGCATGCGTGTGTATGTGTATGTGCGGCTGCTTGTACTAGCCCAGACTGAAGCTGGTTTTATAGTGCTAGCCCACTGAAATACCATGCTGCAGTGAAGCATGAATACCCCACTCAGACACATTATACTGACTCCGAGCCGACCAGTCCTTGTTGTACCCATTAATGCTGAGCGCCAGGCAGGGACCAACAAGTACCATATTTTAACGTCTTTTGGTATGACGCAGTCAGGGATCGAACCCGCGACCTTCCGCTCTCCGGGCAGACGCTCTCACCACTACACCACGGAGGCAGTTACAGAGTCAGTATAAACATTTTTCTTACAGCCCAAAATTATCAGTTCCAAAGTGAGTTTGAGATTATGGATGTGATCACAACCTACTTAACCATGATAAAAATTTTGACCAAAAGGTTTGCACAAATTCACATTCCCATAACAAGTGACAAATAGATTCCTTTTCTTCATTACAGAATGAACATAAATCACAATCTTTAATTTTTTTAAGAAATGTATTGGTAGTTAAAATTCTACGGAGTATCCTGTACAGAACCCATCTCAATTTGGTGTCTTGTGTTGATTTAAACGATTTTAGGAAAAGACAGTTCCAGTCAAGACCACTCTGAAAATCCTCTTGCCACTTTAACTGTGCTCTTGGCATCCTATTTGAAGAACACAGGATATAGGCATTTGAGCCTTTATCAATTGAAAGTAACAATTGAGTAATTGGTGTATTTTCTGCACATTGTCCAGTGTTTTCTTTCACTATTTATAAGCCAGCAAAATATTTTCTAATGACACCATAGTATTCTAAAAAAGATACATTCAATTGATACATTTAATTAAATCAACCAAAGACAGATAACTGCCATGTTCATCAACAAGATCATCAACAATATTTTGTTAAATTAGTTGCAGGGCCTTCTATTGCAAGTTTATCAGAAAAGCTATTTTGATAAGGATCCATAATTACAGTAATAAAGTAAGTTAAGTTTCCACAATTTGTATTTTGATACAAATAGGATACCCTACTTCTGATACCATTAAAAGGGGTTGGGGGTGGGAAACGTGGTTGTCAGGATGTTTGATGCCCCATCCCAACCATCAGTTTTGAAGATATATACAGATAAAATGGATTTAGAAGAAAACTGTAACAAATGATAAGTTTTACTTTTTATTATTATTTATCAAGTTACAATGGCGAACTAATGGATGAGCTAACTGCAAGACATATTCTATTGCTAATTTAACATCTTGTCAGTTATGACAGTTTATAGTCCTTTCCAGATTTTAATTAATCTACTTTAAAAAGAATAATTACTGTGCCCAAATGCAGAGCGAATAATGCTCAAGACCACACACATCGAAAAACTCACCTCACTGTGTCCCCTACCTTTGTTTCAGGGTGCGAAGCAGTCACCCGTGGTTAACTGACTGACAATGGGGGGATAAACAAGGGATTAAGTTGGGTTTGGTGTTCTTCCTAAATCGATGACCACGAAATAGAAGATTCTGTCCTTGAGAGTTGTTGACAAATCGCACATTTACTTGAACATTAGCCATAACGGTATGCCAGAGAATGACAGGGAGTTGGTTTATATAGGAATTCAGTTGACACAAGTCACTCTAAAGGAGAACCCACTCTTACTATGAGTTTCAATCATTTAATTTACTTACACGATATAAACTCACTCATGTCGTAACATTTAGCTGGGGGGCACAGTGGGGTTAAACCCACCCAACTGCAATACCAACAACTCAAGCATGTCCCAGAAGCAAGACCCAGAACTACCAACAATAAGACAGTAATCAATTTGAGCAGCAAGACTCTAACATCTACACAAACATCACTCCTTGCCAAAGTCACCACCAAGACCAACACAGATGACTTCATAACCAGCATCGAGTGTGGCCTCCAACATCTGGCTCCAAATGCAGGCCTACCATACAAACGGTAAACAAATCATCAAAACTGAACTCATATACACCAAAACAGAACAAAAATCACCAAATTAGGAAAATAAACTTCCTAAACTGCCACAATATCCTCTAAAACCGAAACAATACATCTGTAATGGAAGACTAATTGTTTGAAATGGAAAAAAAACTCGCGTATCAGCTGCAAGAGCGAGCGAGAACGGTCGCCGAGTGTACAAAACAGCAGTCATAGCATCACGAAACGGCATACAAATCGTCAAAGATGGCGGCAAAGGGAGACGAATAGGCTTTGGTACATAATGTTTTTCGTCACTATGAGTTACAGTGTGCTTGCTGCAAAATCTTGCCGATGAAATGTCAAATAAATATACATTCGAAAGTAACAAATCATCTGAAATAGAATAGAATAGAATAGAATAATACTTTAATGCCTTTTCAGGAATTTGTGTTACATCAGCAGAGCTACTGACACATTAGAGAGATATCAAACATATTTACATAAATTCTTTGATTTAGGTATCTTCACATTTCTTTAAAGGGGAAGTGTACACGAATAAATCACATTTATTCTTCTGTGAATAAAGTGAACTGTTTTAATTAGTTAATACCAATGTTTGAAAATATACACTCATTTTTCTTACAATGTAAGTATAACCCTCAAAATAAGTGCTGAAATGTTATGCCAATATGAAGCCTTTGTTTGCCGAGCTAAACATGCCAGAGTTACCGCCCTTTGATTATGACGTAATTGGTGCCACTTGATTTTAAACTGGTCTACTGTCTAGTCCCAAGTCAAAAGATAATAATACTGAAATTAATCACATGAAAAAAGTTTGTGAAAATTCGAAAGAAGCATAAGAACAGAAAATGTAAGCAGCGGGACAGATTGATCGTGTTTGTTTTCATTCATAACCTCACCTCAATGAAAATACCAAATATGTATAACAATGTTGATGTGCGTATGACATCACTATCGGGAAGCGACTTTTTCAAAATGGCGTGTTCACTGACACGGGTACGCCGGAGTTGTCAAAGAAATTTTCGTTGTTTCAAGCAATGTATATGCATAAATGTGACATGTAAGTAGTCCGAAAATTCTGTCAGTCTGCTGGTTGTTATTTTCTTCTTGTTTTCATTGTGACCAAGGGAAATAGTCAGAATTAAGAGAAGTACTGTCATCGTTGTGCGTGAGTTTGCGTCAGTCATGGCGTCATGCTTTCAGAAACTATAATATGTTGTGATGAATCTAGAAAATCATGGGAATACACCTATTTTATTTAACTATCGCTTGCTACAATACCTTTCCCATGGATGTTCTAAAACTAATGAGCAAGTGTATGCAACAAGTAGGCGAGCGGATACACAGTGTAAAATCTGAGATTGGCTTTGTTTACATTTCAAACAAGTGGTCCTTTCCCAGCGCGGCATCTGATATATTTCGTTCGATTTCACTGAAACACTTAGAATTGGTGACAAAGTCCATTTGTCAGTTTATTTTGAACTGTATGAAAAATTCAGGGATTCGTGTCAGGAAGATGGTGTTGAACTATATACAATTGGTTTTATGGGCGAAATATAGCCGACATACATGTGACGTGATTTTATAAACACTCTGTAAAATGGCTGAAAATTAATTGTGTTTGCAAGCGTATTTTCCAAAACATTCTCAGCGATTCTCGGTTCATCGACAATGTTTCAGAACGAGCATTAGTGATTTGATCACACAACAACAAAACTACTGCTGATCACAATGATAGGCCTTTTTCTTTTAAATTCAATTTTCCCAGTAAAATTTGACATTTGAATTAAGACACGCAAAACGCAGTGAATGGTGATGTAGTAATGTGTCAAAACTGGCAGGATTTACGATGCATGTAATTTTCAGTATATTTGATCTACAATGAGCGGATGATATACAAAAACGAATTTCAAACAGAGTTCAAAAGTGCAAATTGCATTTATTTTCGTGATACATGTATGTGGATGGATATGGTATTGATATCAAAGTGAAAGTGGAAGAGGAGGGACATATTGTAATTTTAGTAACAAACGTAGAATGCCGGCACATTCGCCGATGGCAAGCTAGATGTAGTGCACATTTTAGTTTTTGTGAAAAAAGATACCGTTGAAAAGGCGACCGACACAGGTTGAATGTTATACAATTTGGTTACGTGGTAACACATTTAGTACAATGTATACATTTTTTCAAACTGCAACGTCATTACAGTGTAGAACTGATGACATAGCCAGCTGACGGCCAGGCAACAGGTGGATTAAAACAGTAGCCTGCGCATCGACACACAAAAACCGCACCTATACCTGCACCACGTGAAATGGGTCTAATAAGGTCTAACGACGTCATTCGCTTTATCATTTGGGCACCAATGACGTCATTTACAAGGGACATAAGCCATGGTGTGTTTATTTTTAAGAGATATGGTACTTGGAATAATGGATGTACGGGCTCTCTTAGTTTTCACAATTGGAACTTTGTAGCGGGGGCCTGAAGGGAGGAGGTTGTATTCTGAATTTAAGTAGTGAGTACGGTCAGATATGATTTTGACAGCTTGATTCATGATTTGTCGCTCATATATTGATGATAAACATTCAAATCTGACTCCAGCGATTTTACTTGCAGTGTAAACAATTTTGTCTATTTTAGATTTGAGATGAACTGAGAGAGACCCGTACCAACAATGGAAGGAAAACGTTAAAATACTCTGAATAAATGCTACATAAAAAGATGACATCACAGATGGGTTAACATTAAAAGATCTCAGTTTACGCATGAGATGAAGACGTTGTTGACACTTTTTGTATAGGGCTTCAGTGTTAGAGTTCCAGTTCAGCTTAGAGTCAATGAAGGTTCCCAGATACTTATACTCCGACACTGTCTCAACACATTCATTGTTGATTATCACTGGAAGCATTTCTGTGGGTTTACTCCGAAAGTCAATTATCAGTTCCTTTGTTTCTGTGACATTTAAGATTAAGTGGTTTTCTG